ATATATATATAGATATATATATATATATATATATATATATATATATATCTATATCACAAATAAGGTTGGTATGGTTTGCATTGCTCCTATTATTCCCAAACAAGCAAGTATTTGCAGCCTACTGAATTCATTAATAGCACTGGCTTATTTTCTCTTTGACCACCAAACTAAAGACGTTTATGTTAAAATCAATCATGAACTGTTGAGTATAGCCAATACATTATGTATGGTTTCAGCTTTCATGTTTTCCCATAAGTATGTTTGGCCAGCATGAGTGCTACCTTCACCTTTTTTTAACTTATTAAGCGTTGATTTCAGCTCAGTTTAGGTTATTACAACTCAACTTTATTAATAAGTATTCACTGTTTGGCTAACGAAGTTTTCTCTTCCTATTATATTTGATACCAAACAAACTAATTGATGAAGTAAGCATAATTGTGTGACCAGATATTATTATGTAAGATTATGCCACATTTACTTTTTTAGAGAAAACTTTTGGCCTGGTTTTACTAGCACTGAATTCTACTCTGTTTTTGATATAGAAAGCTAAAATTTCTTGGTGGGCTTGTCAAGATTTAAAATTTCTTCCGGCTGGTGAAGATATCCAGCCGATGTTTGAGCATCTGCATTGGAAGATAAAACTAGTGTTAACCTTGGTGTACCCCAGGGCTCGGTCCTAAGATCACTACTGTTTCTGGTATAGATGTAAATAACCTACTGCAAAATATAGTATATTGCCACGATATTACTATAATTACATCAATACAAAGTAATGAAAATTGTATTCATAACATAATATACAGAATGATAATATTAAACGTGTTTCTATAAACATTTTTTATGAATGAACTAAAAAATCCTTAATTAGGTAATCATGTATTAAGGTATTGAGTTGATGAAACAAGATAAAAGAATTCAACGCTTTTTGAAACAACTAAATATTTTTTTTCAGTTGTATCTACTAGTATAATAAAGAAGAAAGTAATACAAATCATGAAATTATGAAACAACAAAAATTAATTGTCGCTTCGGGCGACTTCATTGATTCCATTTGCTTTTTCAGCTGCAGAAAAACCCGAAAAAACCTGCAGCACTACATCATCTGAAGATCTTGATTTGCCAATGCCCTCTCTTTCGTAAAACAAAATGTAGGGTGTCTCCAGAGGGTCCAATAAATTCAAGACATCGCCAGAACACTTAGTGATACGACTATCGTCAAACTTAAAACAGTCTGTTTTGTCGTTGACCAAGTATTATTTTGAAAATCATTAGCCAATGAATTCATTTTTTGTATCAACCAAATTTTCAAAATAATCTGTTTGTCATATATTAATCCAACGTTGGGTGCCGCGTTTGCTCACGTTATACTAAAAACGTGTTCGAATGAACATTTACAAAGCTCTGTTGGCGCAGTAAATCGAGTTTTGACGCCTATTAATCACTGTAGATGAAACTTGGATTTACCATCATACGCCCAAAACAAAAATACAGTTCAAACAGTGGACTGCAAAGGGAAAACCGGCATTTTTTTATCCATTTTTTGTTTGTATAAAAATCTGTGTCGATGATATCCCATTAGAAGTGATCTTGAACACTCTTTCCAGCTAAAATTCTAAGAGACCTATCTAGACTCTTTGAACTGAATGAGAATTTGTACTCTAAAGAAGAATAATACAGCTTAAGTTTGTGCTACAAATATTCGTTATGTGATACATAAATGTGATATATAAATGGGTATTGATAGAAAATGTCATCTACATCCACAATGGGAAGTATCACATAAATGAGAAACCCCCAAACCCTCTTATTTCATTCCTCAATGATATGTATGATATATAAATCCAAAAGATAATTTTATCGGACATGCATTCAAAAAGGGGCAAACCATAGACAAAATATCAAAATCATTTGTAAATTGTGCTCTGTGCTTAATTTTCAATTTACAGTAAACTAGGACTAGTGTTATTAATTTTCACCAAGTGACGGACCAGTCCATTCATAATCACTTTAATACAACTTTGTGAGGATTATTACCATTTTGATTTTTTCAGAAATTTCCTGATCTCAAGTTCAAATACGTTGAGGAAGACCAACCCGAAGACTTCTTCATTCCTTACGTGTGGGCCCTTGTTGGTCAGCAGTCAGTTTTGAATTGGTCTAATGACTCATTGTCAGTTTTAACAAGTATTTGCTAACAATTCCAAAAATAACATGATATAAATAATGTATATATGTTAAATAAATTTTAATTTATAGTTACTTGTAATTATAATACCCAGAAATATTTATAACAAAATTGTTGATATGTATTATTAATTTTTTAATAAAAGTATGTTTTTTTCCCAAGTGTTTGTCTCAATAAAAATAAATTATTGTTGATAAGTCTATTTTTCATAACAAAACTTAGGGTAACATTTCTTTTGAATTATATTTGAATGGGTAAAAACTATTTACAAATTCGTAATCTTTTTTTTTTTATTCGGGAAGTCTTGTATCCACTGATTATGGAAGGCATTTCTATAATTTTTTTAATGTGGTTGACAATTTATGAACTTTAGAGATTCGGACATCCATTGTAAAAAAGGATTAACAGGTTTACATTATATTGATTGAAATGTTAAAAAAATACTACCACCAAAATATTCGGATGAATTAGCTGAAAAAAAAACGACAATTATATAAAAATGAGAAAGAAATAAACAAGGAGTATTCTGTGTTTACCAAGGTCGAATCCAACTACCAGGTCCCTTTTGAACGAGAGAAACATTATTGAATTTAAAAGTATAAGAACGCAAATTTGAGAAGAAAATAAATGACCTGAGATAAAAGTGAATTGAAGTGATATAAGTAACAGTAATGATTTTCAAAAATACAAACCACTGATGGTGAATTTTCAAACCAAGCTACTTTGTTCCAATTGTTAGCATACTCAATCGTTTCCTGGAAATAACTGGCCTATTCCTGACACAGCAGAACATTTTAGGTCACTTGGGCACTTTTCCTTCTCTCCTCTCAATTCTCTTGTTCAGTGCATCATTTCCCGCTTGATTAGAGGTTTTTATATATTGCGGATATCCGTAAGAGCCTGACTAAATTAGTTTTTTTACCATTTTCTTTGAATTTTTGAACCAGTTTTTCCCAGTGCAGATAATTTCACCTTTGGACCACTTAATCTTATCTTGGTGGATCCAAACATGCATCACTAATTCTGATGTGCTATTCCTGACGGGATTTTTTTACTCGCCATTAAGTACTTTCAACAGCCTTTTGGCAAGTCCTGATTCGGTGAAACAAGCACAAGAAAAACACCCAGCGAGGAGAAAACAGCAAATCGGGAAAAGAGGGGCTGTTTGTACTCATCAACATAACATGAAGTGGTTCGAAAGGAAGTTTAAAGATGTTGCTTACATAGAGAACGACACATTCAGCCACACTACTGAAAAATCTGCAAAGTATGGAAAGTTTCATTCAAGCAGGAAAATAGGCCTTGGTGCACTGAACTGGAAAACCGAAAGAAGAAAAAGTATAGTTAAAGCGTGCCCAAGAGATAAATAAATTGTCTTGAAATATAAGAAATAGGTCAGTTATCACTCAAATACGATAGAAGATAAGTTGTAAAGTAGTTTGTTTTAATTATTTTTTTCCTCATTTTTTTTTAATTTTCATTAAAATTTCCAAGCAATATAAGTACATAGGCTTTCGCGACCAGAGTCATGATTTAAGATAACAAAATCTGTTCTGGTAGGCTGTGGTCGAATGCTGCAGTAGCAAACAAAACGTTTCTTATTTTACATTCAATGTTTTTTGGTGGGTTCGCAAAGTATGTCAATGTCCTAAGATGCTTATTATCCTGCGGTGGGGTAGACCTGGTAAATGCCTTATTTTCGTAATATTTTGGAAAGAATAGATTCATATTGTTTGTACCTTTGATGACAGCAATTTGTTTTACAAAATTTAGTTCTCTCTATCTCTCTGGAATTTACCTTCTGGCTGAGAAAGCTATTGTAGAGTGAAACACGTGTTCAGTGAAAATCTCATGAAAAGTGCCACTCAAACACTTTTTTAGATAATGAAAGTCCAGACCGCTAACATTCTCCATTATTTTTATTGGTAATAAAAAGTAACATTAACGATGTGACACAGAACATTGAAGTTCCATCCAGCCAAAATATAAATTGGAAATAATTAAGAAATACCCATATCACTTGAGACACTTTTTGACCACTAATATATCCCTGATTATTTCCCTTTATCTTTATTTTGAGCTTTACTTCTGTTCTTGAATAGCTCTTTTTTCTTTTCCTTCAGCTTCTTGTCCTTGAATGCTTCTAAGGCTTCCACTTCCTGTCTATGTTTTTCCATCCTACTCTTGGTCTCCATTTTGAGTTTGTTCTGTTTCTGTTCGTAAGACGCCCTCAACATTTTCATCATTGAAGAAATCTATAATAAATTTGAAAATAAAAAAAACAAATTCAAACAGATAGATTTTCATGACTGACCTTTTGCTCTTGGGGTTCACGAATGACAGCCACCCTTTCAATGCTCTTCTTCTTCTCCGAAAGCTTAACGCCATGTTTTGGTTTATCCCTGTAGGGTAGGGCTTTTTGTAGTTTTTGGGGTATGATAAGTGGCTTGAAAGGTTTTTCTTCTCTTTCGATTGGCTAGAAGAAAAAAAAAGAATCCGTAAATACAAATTAGAAGAATATTTTATTCCAACTACACACAACTACACAATGCTATAACTTCGGGGGAAGTTATATAGCGAGAACAAGTGTTCCAGTAATAAAGATTCAGAAGTTTTAAATATAACTTGAAATAGGCCCTGAAAATATTTTTCATTCACTTCAATCGTTCTTTAATTAAAAACTATACCAGTCCAACTAATGAAGATACTGTTTTGTGAAACTTGCCTCAAATAAAATTTATTGCGAAAGGTCTATAATTATTATCATGGATAAAAACTACTTGAGAAATATTCTTTGAAAGACATTTTTCATGGATGAGTCAATGTTTCTTACTATATTTTGAATTTATGTCAACAATCTGAAAAATAGAGCCAGGTCAATAGAGAAGCTGTTGAAGTATAACAAAGGCCAAACTGAAAAGGTCACCCCAAAAATTACTGCTCAGTATCAATCAATTATTTATTGACCCCAAGAAACATAAATGTTTATAACAACCAAGTTTATAAAACGAATATTAACAGAAATAGATATTTTTATGGATATTTTTTTATGTATTTTCACCTTCCACACCTGTATAAAGTTCTCAATTATAAATTTCATATTTTTCAGATTATGGAAGATGGAAATACCCAAAAAAAGGTCGATAAAAACACTTTCCTCCACAAAAAATGACTTTCGTTCAGGAATAGAGATTTTTCTGAATACAAAACATATTAGGCAAATTATCATAAAAATGGGTACCATATTACAAAATGGTTTCTCGGGAAATCTGTCATGAAACATATCAAAGAAAACTTTCTTGGTTCCCTAAGTACACCACCCCCTTCAATCAGAAATGTTACAGAAGATTCTGCTCAGCAGTTTGAAGTAGAACCTAGCAGACTTGAAAACCCTACTGAGGATGGGCAAAATTTTTTGTCTCCAATATGCCTCCACAAAATGCGAGAACGAGAAAGAGCTCCATTGCACCCATAAATTCATTCAAACATCATGGCGTGAAAGAAATGACAGGCATAGAAACAATAAATAAAAAAATTAGTATTTGTCATGTAAATGTCCAGGGTTTTCTAAATAATTACACTTCAATTGAACTATTTGTTCATATTAACCAAATTAATATTTTATGTGTATCAGAACNTTATGGTCATATAAGTGTATTGTTAGAGTACGGGTGTAGAAAAAATAATGAAGAGACATGGATACCGTGATTATAAGTATAAGTGTGTTGAAAATTATATCGCAATAATTCTGAAAGAAGACTGATATGTTCTAACTGCCTTCAGCAGATATTACAAAATGGCATCAGCAGAAATTACAATATGATGATAAAGTTATCATTTGGGGAGAAGAAACGACTTTTACAAACTCTGGGATGTTCAATCAAAGAAGTAAGACACCAGTATTGTTATTCTTTGAACATTTATTGTGGACCAAGGGACAATAGTTTATTGAAACTTTATTTCACGAAGGAAAATCTAAATAATGATTATTTGAATATCTTAGAGATGATAGACGATCTTCTCATAAGGTATCGAAATGGTCGACTCTGGTTTCAACAAAATGGTTGTGTCCCATACAATACGGGTACCTATAGTGAAATCTTTTAGGGCATAACTTTTCCCAATTCATGGATTCTGGATTCAAGTCCATTGGATGATAAACCAATTCATTCGGTGGACGTCCTCAGCGAGAGGATATTAACTGCTTCCGAAACCATACAATTAGATGGAATCAGAAGATATATTGAAAAAATGAATTCTAAAGTGGCAGTATGCATTCGGCAGACTGTTGGACACCTCGAATATTTACTTGAAATTGAATGATTTTCATTAATTTTCAAAAAAGTTTTTGTACCGTATAGAAATAAAATTTTGTTTCAATCGGCATCTTTGATTTATTTCACGATATGTTTATACAGCTGATGAGGAATTAAATATGAGTAAGTATGATTCAATAAAGATGTGAATTCCATGAGTTCGTGTATAAAATGTGCATTGGTAGCGAAAAAACTGGGCTTCAGTTCCCATGCGGTTTCTGATGGTTCAAAACTTATTGGAAAGGTCAATAAAACTCGAAAAGTGGCTTTAGGTCTGTTATTCTATTCTTTTGCGCAACCAAAATTATCCTTTTTTGGATTGGATCGTCACGTGTGATGAAAATTTGATCCTCTACGATAACAGGAGCCGTTTAAGACACCGGTTGGAAACCGATGAGCTACTCAGACACTTCCACTTGTTGATGTTATTATGCAACCCGAAATGCACCAAAAAAATTGTAACTGTTACCAAAAATTGAAAAGTTGACAAAGACTTGCAAATATCTATGTAAGGAAAGGAATTCGTTCAGTAGATCTTTGATTTCATTGATTTTATATTCCTTTGAAATATTCCAAATGAGTACCTAGGTAACATATTCTTCTTTTTCTGCCTCTCTCTTCACACAATCAGATGGACGATTCGGCAGAGACTTAAATTTACAGAGAAACGCGAGAATTAAGATCAGTATACCTTACTAGTATACGTCATTTCTAATCCCTAGTTCATAAAAATTCACTTCAATTCATCAGTTCGTTCAAAGGTGTATATAAAACTACAAATAAATTACCATTATTATTTTTTGAGAGTGATTTGAAATGGCAAATGTCATTTAAATGTTTTACCAATACTATTTTACTTTCGTTTATGAGGTTAATTTTCTCACAACCTAAACTTCCAACCCAATAATTTACTGCAACTTTGATTATCCGGGCTAGATAGCCGTGGTCCAGTGGAAGAATTGGCCATGTACGTTTCGCAAATAACTGGGATGGGTATCTTCGGCGGTGGTTGACAGCAATGTGTTACAATCTCCACATTGGTAGACTAATTGACGTGAACCTACACTGTTTCATTGATATTTATAGAGACGGGGTGGTGGGGTAGACTCTTCTGATTAGTTCGATGTTCATAAATCTATCTTGCTTCCTGGTTTAGACGCTTGCAACCATGACGAGTGGTGTGAATCAGACGTATTATAAGCATTTACTATATTACATCACCCCCATTAAATATCGAAACTAGTATGCAGCTTGGAGCAAAATATTAGGTGAATTCGATAGACCTGCGCAATGTTTGTATATAGTCTTATAAATCAGGTCAGGTTCTTGGTTAATATTGATTCATATCTTAGGCAAACAGATCATTCAAATAATATCGAGTGTGTTTTCTACATTTTTTTGCTGTAAGTTTCTGTACTGGTTAGAAATACACTTTTGTTTTAATCGGCTTCTTTGCATTTATTTCACGAACTGTTTATATAGCTTATGAGGAATTAAATATGAGTAAGTATGATTCAATAAAGATGTAAATTCCATGAGTTCGGATTTCCATTGTCTGTGATATAAAATGATTTGAAATCCCTGAAAGAACCAATACAATTGAAAATTAAAATGAATAGCTGGAAATAACAATTATTTTAAGTAAAAAACCCTGAAATTGAATAAAATAGAAGCAAAAAATTGAAATTTGAACAAAAGATTTCAAGTCAAGTTACTTCAGGACGTTTCGATTATCAGTATCCACAATCGTCTTCAGGTGATGACTGAACTAATTCCTTTGAGAGATGAATATTTATAGGTCATTAGAGTGATTTCACCTATCTCCCCCTCCCTCTCTCCGGTTCAGCGGAAGATGACCGTTTGACAAATCGGAAATAGCAGAGGATGTATGGACTCATCAACACAACATCAAGTGGTCCCAAGATGAAATCATCCACAGGAAGGAACACTGGTTTTGAAGGAAATTCAAAGAAGCCGCATATATGTTGTCCAACAATGTATTCAGCCAAGCTAGCGCAGAGATACGCAACATATGGATATCCATAGTCAAGAGGAAAACAGCCAACCCCCGCCAAACGATCATCTCCCGCTTAACCGGTGAAGCGGAGAAAAGGAAGAGGGGATAGGTGAATGCACTTGAATAACCTATAAATAGTCATCTCTCGGAGGAATTAGTTCAGTCATCAACCGAAGACGATTGTGGATACTAACAATCGAAACTTGACTTGAAAACTTTTTTTATTTCCTTTTATGTTATATTATTTAATTTTTTGCTTGTATTTTTACTTAATGTAATTGTTATTTTCAGCTGTTCATTTTAATTTTCAATTGTATCAGTTCTTTCAAGGATTTCAAATCATTTTATATCATATTAGATAATGGAAGTCCGAATTAATGAAATTCACCATGAAACAACACCTTCAAACAAATATATGAATTGTCATTCTTCTTAAACTAGTAGAAATATACAAGAGAAATGTTATTGTATAATTCATCAATTAATTCGGTGGAGAAAACTGCCCATATTAAAAAAAACTGTTGATGGTCTCAAGAATACGAAACGTTGGAATGGAAATGTGGCACCACAAAACTAAAAGAAACGTATTTACGGGAAACAAGTATTTGAAATCATTTTTGATATTTTGCCTAATATTTCCGGAACCAGTTCTTATATCGTGATTTTTGCACTAGTGGACAAAGCTCAAAAAACACCATTTTTTTTTCTTCACTTAACCAACTTTCTATTTCTTATTGTTCATTTCATTGTTGTTGCCTCAGGTAGTTTGATATGCTATTAGAACATGTGTCACATCAATATGCTTTACGCAGTGGTAGTATCTATTCATCGGAGATAAACTCAGTATGTATAAACCTCTGAAGAAGCTAGCCACTCGCGCCAGCGAAACGTCAGGAGAAAATTCCAATGATCCGAATAATAGTGACACTGAATAGCTCCATTCTGGAATCTCTTTCATTCATAATCTATGTGAATGATATCATTTCCTACATGTCACCACACATTTTTTTGCTCTTGCTGATGATACTATTTTTATGACATTCTGAAAAGTCAAGGGTAATTTGGTACGCGATATAAATCCAATTTGAACGTATATGTGTGAATATACATTATTCGTTCATATTAATTATTCAAAGAAAGTAATACAAATCATGAACTTATGAAACAACAAAATAAATTGGCGCTCCGGGGCTACTTCATCGACACCAGTGGCGCATTTGCTTTTTCAGCTGCAGGAAAACCCAGAAAAACCTGCAGCACAACATGTACAATAGACTAGTAAGGCAAATTATGCAAGAAGAATAAAATAATCAACAAATCAAAATGCGGCGCCAATTCTCAAATAAATCCTAAGCTCGAGTAGGACATACAAACCTCATCTAGGCAAAGTATTTACTGCCGTTAGAGCTTTAAACTCTAGTAAAGTCGATGAAACCATCCATTATTCAAAGCTATAAAAATCATGTTTGTATAATCAGCTATTATTTTTGAAAATCTAAATATCACTAAAAACTTGAATAAAATTCACACCCAATTCAGACATGCATCTTTGCAAAACAAAAAATAAGATAGATCTTGTACAGGAATCAAATAGATTGAAGAGAACTGAAAACTTAGATTTTAGGTTATATAATTTACTTTTTCCTCTATTTTCTAGAGTTACCATGCAAAAATGTCGAGTGCAATCTTTAACACATTTTGACTGCAAAGACAGCCCAGCAATTTGGGACCGATTTTAGATATTTTCTGATGAAAATTTTGTATTTTTAAAGATTGATGGATATAGTCGTTAGTAAGTGGTAAAATCACACTACTTGTATTTGTAATTAACGTTACTGCAGTTTCATCCTACCAGAACATTTTCAAACTAATACAATAAACTGATAACTCTACGTAAATTTAAGGCTTTGTTTTCTGATCAACTTCTGGATTGTTTCTACGTTTCTGTCTGTTCTGTTCAAAATATGTTTTTCCGTTAATCAGCTGTCGCCCCCATACGAACGACAACTTTCAAAAGTCGACACTTGTGCGAGCTAATGACTAATGATGTCTTAACTTTGTACTTGTGATTCCAAACATGTTGAATTCATTAGTATGTCCTATCTGTATTCCCTATATAGATTGTTACCAGACAAAGGTAATGAGAATGCTCTGTGTAACATTAAATTGTAGGCTGCTAATTTATGACTGTCAGGATGGAAATAATCACTTGGGAGTATAGCTCGGTTTTCTGAATACATTGAATTCAAATTTATTATGATTGTGTCATAAATTTGACTTCAACGTATTCAGAAAACCAAGTTATACATATTACAATTCCAAGTGCTTTTTCCATCCCGACAGTCATAAATTAGCAGCCTACAATTCAATGTTACACAGAGCATTCCCGTTACCTTTGTCTGCTAACAATCTGGGTAGGAAAATCAAAATAATTATATAATGCTTTCAAACAAATAGTCAGAATCAATAAATTTGTAATTTCAACATATTTTGGTAAAAGAACAGAGACAATTGAGGCATTTAAGCCACATGCCAGGGAATGTTATTCCCATTTTTTTAGTCAAAGATAAAATGAACAAGATGGAGAAATCTGAAGTTCATAAACTTCCGGAGTGTAATAGTGTTTATGTGGGACAATGAGGCCGAAATTTTTGAAGAAGGTATGCTGAACATGAAAGATCATTCAGACTAGGTAAAAATGTTTTGAAGTTTTCAATTAGAAATTCATAAACATAAGCATTGTGAATGTAACCTACTAAATGACCAAATCTACCTGGTCTACTCGCCGGTTATCAGATTAGCGTACCCACATTGTCAAAGGTAAACAATACTCGAATAGATATATAAGATAAACATTATCAATTGTTTCAGTTTATTGTACTAGTTTGAAAATGTCCTATTATGACAAAACTGCAGTAACGTTAATTACAAATACAGGTGGTAAAAAACACAGGAAGGTTTTTGTCTCATTTTTCATTAATACATATTGTTAGTGTCATTATGGCAGAACTTGTTCGACAACAAAGAGGTTTTGCATATTTTACACATGGGTTTTGTAGTGAGGAGCATGTAAAGTTCATGTGAAAAACTTCAGAGTCCGATTTGAAGCCAATATAGTTCGATTTTTTCTGCTACTTGGAATGTGATGCCAGAGTTTCAAGTAATGTATGATTTTTTTGCCTGTGTGTTCCATTTCTCTGGCCACTTGATTATGCTTTCATGAAGTGTTTCTCATCTGATAAAAGTATTTTACTTGTTATTACGAATTTATGATTGCTGCCTGTCTTTATTTATTGGCAATTATATAGAAAATCATCGGTTGTTGGATGACCTCTAATTCTGTTACATTATAATAATACTTTTAGAGTTTATTCATCAAAATTTACATAAAAGCTACAATTATAATCTATGTTTCATACAATAAATAAACAAATACAACCTTACAAAGTTAATAACTTGTCATAAGGATGTTACAAAATTTTTAAACGGTTTTCAAGAGGTAATCAGTTATTTCATATAATCATTGGAATTTAAAAGTTCAAATGGTAATTACATCATGAAAAACATTTCTACGTGTCGAAATAATCCATATTTTCACAGGTTTCTTATACAAAATTTAGGATTTTATTTCTTAAATATTATTGGGAGTTTTATCATATAAATGAGGAAGTGAGTATTCATAATTTCTTTGACATATTCATTCATTACAGTTACAATTTTGTTTCACTTCCTGTATTTTATGTTTGTGGTTCTAATATTATAAATTAAATCCTATCCATCTAAATTGAACAAGCTCATGTTGTAAAGTTTCCATGTTACTGCTAATATTATTATATCTAAATCAAATCATCTTTAATAAATTGAAAAGGTATAGGAGGAGAAAGGAGGGTATAGAAAGATTCCCACATTTTTTGTATCAAGATGGAGAAGTAGATAGGGAAAACTTTTCTTTCCCAACAAATTATCCTTCAAACTGATTCAGAAATGATTTACATTCATCCATATTTGTTTTCAGTACTTCTGATATTTAAATGGAAAACTATATTTTTTCAAAATATTCAGTTAGTCCCTGTTGTCTAGAGTTTGCTTTATTTACAGCTACAATCACATATTCAAATCTTAGATGATCAAATATAAAAACAACTAATAAACTGCGTGTTGAGTGTTTCACTCCATCTTATTTACCAAAACTGTTTGCAAGGAATTTAAAAATTGAACTTGAATAATTTGTGAGCCCATGAATACAGAAATGACACCTACACTTCAGAGCAACAATATAGTTCACCAAAACATTACCTTATCTTTCTTTTGTAATGTATTTTCAGAAATGTCAACTGCAACAAATCAATGAAAATCTATTTTATTTTCATATATACAGTAAACTTAATTTCACAACAGTCATATAGTGTTTTCGACAGGTGGTTAAAGCAGAACATTACAATGATAATTATTTAATACTATACGTACATCCATGCTCTATATTGAAGACCCCCCTTTTCTATATTGAAGACCCTCCTTTATATTTTTTCAGAGTGACTTGAATTTATTATGTGTTGGTCCTCCAAAAACTCACTTAAATTCACTAGTGCAATGAAAACAAATGTGAACAGTTTGACTAGAACAAATATGTGATGAACTTTGAAGGTATCCAAATGAATTCATTGATGCCTAATATAAATTCATAACCAACCAAAATGAAATGTGCTTCAAATAGACCAATCAATGAATACATTAGTGAATGTGTATTAGACATCATTGAATTTACTTACTTGTTTTAAGTAAGTTAGGATAGAACAAGCCTTAAAAATTAATAGTAAATAAACTTAATGAGTGCAATTTCTTCTAGATAAATTCAATATAATTTAGCTTTTGTAGAACACAACTCAAGAAGGATTGATTTTATTGGTTAAACAAAATATCTGTGCTCATTTTCAAGAGGTTCGATCCGACTTGAGTATATAATTTGTAAAATACTAAAAATTAAATAATGGCAAGTACTTTCGAGCTTAAACGTTGTGAACTTTACTTTCACCACCTTTATGATTGAAAACTGGGAACGCCTGCGAACAATTTATGTCATTTATGTGAAATTGCATAGCCAACAACTAACATTTAATCTCCATCATATTGTTTATTTGTCTGTATGTATATGCAAATTGCTCTTATAGGTGAACATATGAAGACAAGCTGTGTACTAATGTAGACCAGTCCCGTGATTGCATCCTTGCAACCATCATATCATAGCACCACTTCAGAAGCAGAACATAAATAATCTCTTCTCAATCATCCTTCAGCATACTGAGAGGGTTAGTTTTACCTGCCCTCGATGAGAGTGATGGAATTGAATCCATACCTGAAACAATTATAATTTCATATGAAATGTTAGAACTGGAACTTCTGGCGTATAGAATAGAATATGTTTATTTGACAATTGCGGCATTTAGACCACATGCCAGGTTACGTTATCTACTTTCTTTTAGTCAAAGATAAAAAGGACAAGATGGAGAAATCTGGAGTTTATAAAATTCCGGAGTGTAATAGTGTTTACATGGGACAATGTTGGCGAAATTTCTCAAGAAGGTATGCTGAACATGAAAGGTCCTTCAGACTAGGTAAAAATGTTTTGAAGTTTTCAAACCATTCCCGAATCTATACCATAGGAAAATTTTGCACTCTGCAGGAAAAGGTTGGAAACCCAATTATTTGGAATCCTTAGTGAAGTCATTAAGGGCCGTCTGGCGTATATATGTATATTCTATTCTATACGCCTCTGGCGTAGAATAGAATAGAATATGTTTATTTCATCACACTGACTACAAAATTTACAATAGTGACAAGTCAAACTGACAAACAAGAATAACAATAATTCAACAATAGTTGTTGTTATACACGCTGATTACTTCTAAAACAATTATTATGGAAATAAAAAAAATGTAACATATAAAAATATTAATGTCTCACAATTCAAATATTTGTCAATGGAGTAGAAACAGTGCCTTAATAGTGAGTGCTTAACTCTAGCCTTGAAACAGTTATAACTCAGACCGGTAATGTCTGTTGGTATTTTATTGTATGAATGTAAGTTGAGTGAATTTCGAACTGATAGATCCAGTCTATAAAATTGAGGGCTCACGTGTACACCTCTTCGAGTAGGGTAATTATGAAAGTCAGCATTTGTAAGGTACTTAGTATTATTTTTGTGAATCTCTAAAATGTTATAAGAGTATGAAAATACATGGCAACGGTAGAATTTTGAGTTTTTTAAATTGAGGACGACAGTGGTCTCTGTAAAAAACATTGGCTATAATCCGGATTGCTTTTTTGCACACAAAAGGCTTCAATTGTCTGTGAAGACTGTCTCCATATATATGCCATATGTTAGGTGGTTGTTAAAAAGAAAAGGATGTCTGTAATACCAGACTTTGACTAAGACACATTTTCAGCTGTCTTAGTAAGAACAGTTGTGTAGAAAGTTTTTTGCACAGACCAGCAACATGTGCTTCCCGATTTAACATGTCATCAATTTTAAACCCCAAGAAATCTACATGTTGCTTCTTCGTTAGTTGTCTATTTGATAATATTATAATTTTCTGTGTCTTATCCCTGTTTAGTTTGAGATAATTTGAAGTAAATCAAGTTTCAGCATCATTATCTGTTCTAGAACATAGGTCTATTAAGTCGTTAACATTTGAGTCTGCTTCTACCGTTGATACATCATCTGCATAGCAAAAAAATAAGCTTGGGAGTAAAAAATTAAAAATATCATCAATATATACCACAAAAAGAGTTGGTCCCAGTATGGACCCTTGTGGTACACCGTGAAAAATGTATCTACATATGCTAGATATTCCAGATGTATAAACAACTTGTTTTCTCCCACATAAGTAGGTTTTCATTAGCTCTAAATCTCTGCCACGTATCCCATTATATTCCAATTTACTTAGTAGGAGCTCATGATTTACACTGTCAATAGCCTAACTTAGATCACATAGAGTTAGAGCAGACACTAGCCCCTTTTCAATATTCACTATTATTGTATAGCCTTCACAGCTTGGGTTCTCGATTTGTTAGACCTAATTCCAAATTGAAATTTTTTAAATACTGAATAAGTTTAAAAAGAAAATTAGGAGATTAAGCGATCTTTAATTAGTATCCCAAAAATTTTACCAAAGATAGGAATGATAGATATGATTCTATAGTTATCTGAAATATTTGGATCACCATTTTCGAATATGGGAATAACTTTACTTGTTTTGAAGATGTCTGGAAATAGTCCTTCACAGAGACGACGGTTGAAAAGAACAGTCAATGAACCAGAGACAAGGTGTAGGGTTTCTTTAATCATTCTTCTGTTTAAGTTGTATATGTCCAAGCAAGCAGAGTTTCTTAATTTAATTATTTCTTGTCTAACTTCAACCTCGGTAACTGGACTATGGAATATAGAAGTACTAGATTTGGGGAGTGTAAAACGGTAAGTTAAAGCATTAATGTTGCAGGAAGGTAGATATTTTACAGTTTGTTCAGCTATATTTGTGAAAAAGTTGTGAAAAATCCAAAACGAGGACTGTTACCAAACATCGGAACTTTCATTTTCTCGACGCGCGTTTCACCAACCGAAATGGTGTCTTCAGGAGATGAAGTAGACTAGATCCTAACTCTAACCTGGTCTCTATTCATATCTAATAGGGTACACTTTCAATTTTTCGATGATTTCGAGTAGAAATTCGCGGCAACTTTTTTAGTGAAAGTCTCCATTGATTTTAACAGAGCGATTCATGTCTGTGAAAGAGGTAACCAACCGCATATTCCAAATTTGCAATTACTCCTATAAGGTAAAAACTTTTCACATATAGTCAATGAGCATACTTGAAGACGCTATAAATCAAATCATCTGAAAGAACAATTCGTTCAGGCCAGTCTCAACTCCTTAGGTAGGTTAATGGACTAACACCCAATGACTATATGTGAGAACTTTTCTTTCCCTGTACGAGGAATTGGGCAAATTTCGGATATGCAGTTGGTTACCTCGTTCACAGCATCACATTTAAAATATAGAAGGCCTGAAAAATCAGCAGTCGCCCATCATATTTTGCAACAAAACCATTCCATAGACTTCAGTTCATTAGGATTAGTTAGACAGAAAAACCAGCAGTCGTCCATTATATTTTGCAACAAAACCATTCCATAGACTTCAGTTCATTAAGATTAGTTAGACAAGTTAACAACAACAGGCATCTAGATGCCTATGAGAGTGTAGAAATAAGCAAACATAATATTATGAATAACGATGGTGGACCAATACCTAATAGTATACTATATAGCTTGTTAAAATCAAATTTTATTTATTAGATGTTCCTGACTGTTACATAAGGACACATTGTAAAATTAAATTTAAGACACGTAGATAAAGCAATATTGTGAAATTAATTTTACATAGCTTATAATATTTCAATCATTAGATTCACTTAACTTACAGATAAGGCAAATTGTAAAATTAATTTAAGACACTCAATACGCAGGTACCTAGCACAGGTAGATACCTGTATCTATGTATGGTATACCTGTATGGTATACATAAGGATAGCTTTATAAGTATGACTAGTTTAATCTTTCTCTTGAAGATGATCACTTGATGATCGAAACACGTGCCGAGGTGTTAAAATAACGATTTGGTATTGGCATAAAACTCCAGCAATATTTGAAACAAAGTCCTCTACCTTACATTTCTTTGTGTCAAAAATCGCGAATACACCATCTACATATCGAATTCAAGTGGGAAATCCAACTCCTCTTTTGCTTTCAATTCAAATTTGCTCATGAACAGATAAGCTCCAAAAGAGAACAGGGGATTTTCTATTGCCGTGCCTTCATCCTCTTCATAAGCTGATTTGAATTTGACACAAAATGGTAGTTAGATTCCTTTCCATGGATTTGAAGACAAGAGAACTATGAACAGTAACAAAGGCCACATTCCAAACAGCCTATTTTTCACCTTTATATGAATCGCTCTGTTATAATTAGCTGTTGTATTGTATACAACAAAAAATAAGAAATAAATGATCTTGTTTTCACGAAAGCTGATAAATCGAATGCCATAGTTATCCTTGAACGAGAAGCTTATGTTCAGAAAATTGAGTCAGTCATTCGAGATGAAAACCTTACTGTCATCAAGAAAGATCCAACGAAAAATAGTCAAAATGAACTGAAAAATTTCCTCTTGGATACTAAAATCATTTTCACAGAATCAGAGAAACGGAGAATCACCAACATGAACCCTCTTGCCCTAAACTGTATGGCCTGATAAAAACACATAAAGAGGATAACCCCATAAGACAAAACTATTACCAATTTCGTCCCACCTCACAGCATTAAAAATTCACTGACTTTAGTAGAAAACATAAGGAACAAAACCACGCCACATAATTCAATTTTAGTTTCATTCGATGTAAAGAGTATGTTCTCCAACATACCGTATAGAGTGTAAACCCCTCATTTTAGACATATTAGATAAAGCCAAAGTGGACCATATCACTTCCTTTGAAGTTTCAACAGCTTTCGATGTGTGCCTAAATCAGAGTTACCTACAGTTCAACAACAAATTCTATAAACAGGATTCAGGTTTACCAAAGGGCTCACCCCTTAGTCCACTTTTAGCAGACATATTTATGAACAACTTGGAGACCAAGATAGTAAACTCCGACTCATAAACATTGCGGGTGCAACCTGTTAAATGACCAAATAGATTTAATTTATTCTCCGGTTTTTAAATTGGCACATGCGCATTGTGAACTGTAAATACAGATACCCAATCAAGTACCTGAATGGTATATATTAGCGAATGTAATGAATCATTCTTAGTTTATTATTTAAGTTTGAAAATGTCCATATTGGACGAAACTGCAGTAACGTTAGTTACAAATAAAAGTGGTAAAAAACATGGAAATTTTTCATTTCTCTTTTCATAATAATTGTCTAAGTAAATGTATTTTAAAAAATAAAGACAAAACTTCGGTTTTCGAGAGATCAGGGGTATATAAGCCGACTTGTGGCTCTTGCCCAAAACTATATATTGGCCAAACAGGGGGATAATTTTTCCAAATAATTAAAGATCATAGAAGTAGTTTTGTAAATAGAAAGACCAATTCCACATTTGTAAATCGCCTTTTAGTAGAAGGACATGAGTTAAATCATGAATACTACGTGTTACATTTAGAAAATAAAAGTTTGAAACTCAATCTTCTAGAATGTTCAGAAATCAGTTGATTCAAGAATTCGGGTAATCTACTGAATGATCAATTGGAATTGAATAACTCTCCATACTAAATATTTTTTCAAATGTGGAAATCATTACAAAATCATTACAAACTCAGGTACACATGAAACATTGAATGACCAGGTAGAACTCAGGTACTGGAAATGTAGGTACTTCAAATTGTAAACTGAGTTATATAAAATGTAGAATACATTTAATAACGACACGCCAGAAGAAGGCACTGTATGGCGAAACATGTGTTGCGTTTATGTAACTCTTTAGTGGAAATTCTCACAATAAAGTTTTCTTGAATACATTCGTTATGGATTTTCATCAAGTACGGCCAATTCTATTATATATCAGATTCAGAGAGAGGTGTCTGAAATAGTTTTGCATTTCTTGTTTGAAATGTCTGAGTATATATCTTCCTATATTTGTTATGATGGATATGCTATAAAGAATGAGAAGTGGAAATTATTTCCTCTTCAGATATTGAATATGATATTGATTTTGCGTGAAAGGAATATCGTCCGAAAAAAGAAGTAAAATAGTTTGAAAAAAATCAAGATTTACATGATGAATTCAAATTCCTACCATGGAGTAAGAAATTGCTATATATTTGAGTCTTTTTTGGGAAAACGTCTTCACTAAAGTCGAACGAATATCAAGATGATGTTGATTTTCTGTAAAACGTCGGAAAAAGAAATACAGATGGCTGACTCTGTCTCCAATAATTTTGACTGAACCGTGATATAAAATCATAAAGAATGTTTGAAATTGCATATTCTAAATATGAAGCAGAATTTTATGTTGATTTGTACAGAAGAAATGTGAACATGGGACACGGAGATGAAAGATGTTCAACCCTACAATCAATTCAGTGCAATTTTGGTGCAATACTATGAAAATATTTCTAATGGTGTTTGAAAATTTAAGCAGTCTCGAAGCATATTACCCCATTAAACAAAAATCAAACGTTATCTAATTGTTGGAAAGTAATATATTCACGATGCCAATGAAATTATTTTCCTATAAGAAACTACTCACCCTGGTGTATGTTTAGACAATCTAGCCATTCTGTCATGCTAACTTGCCTATCTCGATTACTATCACAGTATCTCGGCAATTTCTTGCCACATTTTCTCAGCCCCTTTATACTTCCTACCATATCCTTGAACGTTTTCCATTCACTTCTTTCCCACATTTTATTTTTATTCTTGTCTAATACAACAAAACTCCATGTTGCGGCTTGCTCTTCCTTAGAGTTTATCCAAGCTAAGTTGCTAAAAAGTGATAAATAACCATGAAAAATTGTTCATGTCTTTTTTAGAATAGATTGGTTATTTAATTTTGATTTTGAATGAAAAATGCTGGTAATTATTTAAAAAAAATCATTCTATATCCAAGTAGTACTCTAGTAGAACAACTTGGTCCCATGGACGTTATTGGAACGTTGGCTCCGGTCATTTGGTACGTCTCAAGAATGTACGGTTTTCATACACTGAACATCCTATGGACCTTCTTGAGACGTGCAAATGTCCATGTTGAACATCATCCGAGTGTCCGTCATGGACGTCATCTGCACATCCTTCATGAACGTGAGATAATAGAAGGAAATCCTGATATCTGTAATGCCTTTATTTTACAATCAAAACTCCCCTCAGTAATAAAGAAGAATATCATGTTATATACAGCATCCATGTTCACCTTGCATTTCTTTTTACATAGTGAGATTATCGTAATCTTTCATCTCGAATAATCTCACACAAATACTGCAGACTTAATAAATGGTCTTGTGAATTAGCAGAGCGTGTTATTTGAAAGGGTCACGATACAAAAATTTTAGCTGTTGAAAAACACAAAATAGTTTGAATAAAAAAACTGAAATGAAAAATTTAAGCAAAATTTACATTACATTTTACCTCTTGAATAACTTGCCAAAAATTAAATTGAAATAAAAAAACAGAATAATAAAATTGAAAAATAAATAGGAAATATTTTTTCAATCAGTACATAACGTACATATAAAACAACATATTTCTTTCATTTTTTCATGTATCGTGGCAAATCTTTTTTTGGCATAGGTACCTCATTTGTCAAATTTTATATTTCTTGTGAATGCCAATGTTTCCTTAGTAATCTTACTTTGGTGAGTTTCTTGTATAATTTCATTCATTTGTTGTTTCCAATAATCTGACTGACACCTATCAGAAAACAACTACTCCCCTGGCTAATACTACGAAGGGTGTTGGATTATATCCGACAGGTGTTAGTGCAGATTTCTTCACTGAAGTTATTTCTGCACATGCTTTTGGTGATACAACTGCCACAATAGATTTTCAATTATTGGAACACACTTGTGGACCAGTTTCGAGCTGTTCATCAGTGCAAGGTAGTGTCTATCATCAACATAAAGTCGATGATTTCCGATAATTGAAAATCGAATTCTTTCAAAGTATAATTCCTCGAACTAGGCTGAAGCGGAGAATAAACAACAAGTTCGTCATCGCTCCATCTGTCTGTGAACGAGGTAACCAACCGCATATTCCAAATTTGCAATTACTCCTATAAGGTAAAAACTTTTCACATATATTCAATGAGCATACTTGAAGACTGGCTATAAATCAAATCATCTAAAGGAACAATTCGTTGAGGCCAGTCTCAACTCCCTACACTGTAGATTAATGGACTGACACCTATCAGAAAAGAATTTTTCTAGTGGTAGTGTCTGTCATCAACATAAAGTTGATTATAGACATTACCTTGCACTGATGAGTGGCCAAACAGCCCGAAACCGGTCTGCCAGTGTCTTCCAATAATTGATCTATTGTGTCAGTTGTATCGCCAACAGCATATGCAGGAATAACTTCAATGAAGAATCTTACATCCTACACTGACACCTGTCAGATATAAGCCAATGCCCTTCGTGGTATTCGCCAGGAGAGTAGTTGTTTTCTGATAGATGTCAGTCCATTAACCTACAGTGTAGGGATTTGAGACAGGCTTGAACGAATTGTTCCTTTAGATGATTTGATTTATCTTCAGGTATGCCCAGTGACTGTATGTCATTCGTTGTTTGCTTCTATTTTCATTATTGTAAATATTCTTGAAAAAGTAAATACAATTTTCTGAAAGCTTGAACAACAAGAAATAGTGTTCCATACATAGCCCTTGAGAGGACCTTCAACTACAATACAAAAAAAAATTATTATCTCTGCCAGTCCTTGAGCTACCCCTATATCACGTTAATCAAGGATATGTTTCAGACGCAATTCAATCAATTTCTGTGTTTCTCGTATTATATCTGGCAAAATCACCAAAGTAATGTCCTTTTGGTTGCAATTTATGTTATATCCATACCATGTTCTTTAAAAGATCTCATATGAACATTGAACATAAATTGGACCAAAAATGGACATTCCGATGATAAAAATGGACCTGAATGGGACGTCCCTAATAACTCGTTTCCTAAATGTTTGTATATGTTTATTTATGTTATATCTCACTTTGGAAATATAAGTTTAAAAAAATTATTTGATTTTCTAAAAGGGAAATGTTCCCTTGAATTACAGAAGGCACAATATAATTTAAGGTAAAGTGAATACAAAAGTAACAAACTTGTGACCTAACTCATTTCACAACGCAGGACGTATTATGCCACCTTGAATATGAATAGAAAAGATCAATAAACAACATATAACATTTAAATTCTGTAATCATATTTATATTCTTATTTTAACATGGTCCTTTGTGTCTTCTTCTGCCATTAAAATATTTTTTCAGTTTATAAAGAATTAGGAATAATCTGTAGAAAATAAAAATAACATGGACAGACTTCATGCAATCTATTACAAAATTAAGTAAACTTAAAATTCTATCTAATTGACAAGAAATTACAGACCTGTTATTTGTTGTGTTCATGAGTTCATTCATCTTTGAATGCAGAAAAGTAAGCAATTCTTTCAGGAATATTTCTTTTTTCTCTTCTGGACAACCTTTCATAGTTCTGGTAGTACTTTTGAGATGATCACAGTGTGGAGTGCCATTTTTTATTGAAGTTCCTGGTATATTTTTTCCTGAATCCTCATTCACACACCAACAGTAACCAGCAGATTTGTAGCATTGTACCTGAGGAAAATTTTATACTGAAATGGTTGCAGGGTCACATCTATGCTAAATGCTGTACGAGGGCTGTTCAAAAAATAAGGTGAATGTTCAAATATCACGGGCTACGTATATTCGATTAGCGATTTTTTTTATTTTTTCATGTTGAATACTCATGTCAAAGATACGTTCACAATTTTAGCTGTTTACCATATTCAGTTTGTTGGTGAGAGACATAAAAGTTGGAAATGTTTTACGTGTTCGGCGATTTTCTACTTCTAAAAAAATTATCAAAGAATTTGCATCAAATTTTATTTGAAAAATGAAATTGAGTGCTCAAAAAACACTTCAAATATTGACTGTGGCATACGGTGATTGTACTCTAAGTCAAAAAAAATTGCAAATGGTACAAGCGTTTCACATATCAACAACCGATGAAATTGTTGAGAAAGTGAAGAAAGTTGTCATGCAAAATCGTCGAATCACTATCAGAGAAGCTGCTGAGGATGTCTGCATATTGATTGGCAGATTTTCTAAAAAGGTTCATAACTGGAGACGAATCATGGATATATTGTTATGACATCGAAACCAAAGTCCAATCTTCCAATGGAAGAGCCCAGGAGGGACAAGACCAAAAAAAGCACGCCAAGTTCGAGCAAATGTCAAGGTTCTGCTCACTAATTTCTTCGATTACCATAACGTAGTTTATCAGGAGTTCTTGCCACATGATCATACGGTCAATAAGAAGTATTATCTTGGCCGAAAACAACACTGTATTCAACAGACTTGACCTCCTGCGACTTCTTCCTGTTTCCAAGATTGAAGAGACCCATGAACGGCGTTTTGCCAAGGTTGAGGAAATAAAAACTGAATCGCTGAGAGAGTTCAAGGGCATACCAAACAAAAAATGCATATCATAACTGCTTTCAGGATTGGAAAAAACGCTGGCACAAGTGTATTATTTCTGAGGGGGACTGCTCTGAAGAGGGAATAAATAAATAAATATTTTTTGAGGAAAAAGAAAATTCACCTTATTTTTTTAACAGACCTCGTATAAAACAAATACGAGTATACAAACAATTCAGACACAGAAAGTACTGTTGTAAATCATGCTCTAAAGACGTAGCTAAGAGTGCAAATGTACGATGTTTGCTGCCGCTCTACATGTAGCCAGAATAATGCTACCGATTTCGATGGAATTCCGGCAAAATTTCTACAGCATTCGATTACGATATATAAACGCTAGTCACGAGCTTATCAAAACAGTCAAGTGGAAATTACAGTGCGGTACGCAAAGTGATCTAGTGAGGCGATAGACATTCGATTAATAGTTGAAGTTTTAGTTGTAGTGTTTGATGTATTTAAAGTGAAATAAAGTTAATTTTGATTATTCAGTGTAGTCAATTATTGGAAAACCCACGGGGAAAAACGTGACAGTACCATAACTTTGCACAATATCCGTGTTTCTCAAACTAATAAAAATTATAGAAAATTATTTTTCCAAAATAAGTTATCAGTAGAAAATAAGTCATTATGTATTTCAATGTACTGTGGTCATATTCATAAAAAAAACTAGCTCATACAAATCAACTGCTAAAAACAACGCCTCGTTTATAGGGATATTTCGAAATTCGGTTGACCAACGCAAACGGAATCAAATCAGAGAGTATCTGCCAAAGAACTAACCACACAAAAACAATTTGTGACATCTTCCATTATTCCTCGCCACTATAAATTTATGCTGAAACAAAATGTTTTAATTTTTAGTTCAAATATAGATTATTGCTAAACAACAAATCCGTATTCTGAAAGTAATCCAAGCCTATTACAAATGACTTGGCCACTTAGATATTTAATACTCCTATTGCAGTCATTTAATAAGAATGAAAAATGACAGGCAACATTTTGTCTTTCAATAGTTATTTCCTCAAATCAATCAATTGCATAATCTGAAAACATTTAAACATATTCATTACCATGCCAATTGAATATATTTCTCAGAGGACATTCATATGATAAAATGCACCACTAACAAAAACAGGAACAAAGACAGTTACAATGAGTGAACCTTGTGACTTGAACATCTCGTGAGAATGACGGAGATTTCCATAGATAACAGCAAATTGAAAATTTTCCCGGTGAAGCCTGTAAATTGTAAAAAAGATCGCCTTCGTATTACAAGGACATGTTGTTTGACATAGGTGAGAATTTTGGTAAAACATATATTTAATGCTAAATGCAAACGAGTTCAGAATTCAACTAATGAACCATTATTAAAGCCACTATATATGACAGACATTAGGGCTGTGGAATTTTCAAAGTTCAACCACAGTTATGGTAATAAATAATATTTGATTTCTATAATCTTCAGATCAAACAACCTAATTAATTATGTTCACTACAAGGGGGAGGCCGCCATTAGCAGAAATAAATTGAAACCTACGGCAGATAGAAAATTTATCCGTTCCAACCGAAAAACTCTAGAGATTCTGTGGAATTGTAAACGGTATATTTGATGACAAACATTAAGTGAACAGCTACTATATCCAAAAAAACGAAACACCCAGGGAGTGGTGTACTGTTTCTCCTGTTTAGAAAAAAGCTTTGAGAACATTCAGGTCAGAGCTAACCATGTTATACCTGAAGTTTTAGGGTATTCACTGAACCTCAACAAAATTTCCTGTTGCGCAAAAGTCCATTATTTCCGTTAAAGTTGTGATATAATGGATATTTATGATATGAGTGTTAAAAGTAAGGTTTTATTTTGTGAGTGAAAAAGTTTGCGAAACGAGAGTAGCGAGTTGAGCATGAACAAAATAAAACTCACTTTTAACACAAATATCACACAATTTTTGTTGTACAACTGTCCTGTTTTCATAATAAAATAGATCAATTTAATATTTATATAAAAACATATTTTGACATCTCTTTTAAGTTAACTAATTTCATGTTATCGCATTTGCTGTGAAGTTGCCGTATCAGGTGACACCTGGTTACCAACAAACACTATTGTTTATAACTCACGCGTTTTATTTAAAGTCGCATTTAAAGTTCTTGTTGGTGTTTAATGTCTTGCATAATGAAGAACAATAGTGAGGAATCGTGTGTTCCTGACAATATTGAAGAGGCTGCAAAAAAGCTTCAATTGAATTTTTACCGAAAAAATCGGCTCAGCAGTACGACATCACATATTCTAATTTTCTTAGCTGGTGTAGACTTGAAAACGTCGAAGAAATTTCAGCGAAACCGTCTTCTTAGCCTATCTAGAAGAGAAATCAAAAATATCGAACTCGTCAACTTTGTGGAGCAAGTTTTCAATGATAAAGTCGAGTGTGCTCGTTAATAATGGTGTTAATACAAGCAAATATTTCAAGGTAATAATTGAGATAAACTGGCCGATAACTGATGAAAACCCATATTAAAAAACTAATTATTACAGTTTGTTGTATGATTTTCACTATGAAGGGTTTTACAAAACCCGCGACACGTGTTTCGCTATACAATAGCTTTCTCAAGCAGTCGCAGTTTTTGTTAAACCCTTCATGGTGATAATCATACAATAAACTGTATGAATTAGTTTTTTTTTTACTATTTTCGGAATATATGGAGCCTGCCGTCATGAAGAGCTGTGCCATTTATTAATAGAAGACATTAAATTAATGGATAAATCATTGATTGTTCAAATTCCAAATAGGTCGAAAATAGGTCGTTCTTTTTGCATTGTTGAAAAAAAACATTGACCATTTTAACAAATACGTTGCATTTTACACCCTCATCAGGAACGAATATAAGGGATATTAAGAAGCACGAAGGATGGAAGTTTACAACATAAGCTGAGGGTTACATCAATCAATCTATTTCTTATAAAAAGGCTATTGCCGAAAGAATAATCCCAACAGCTAACTCCAGCGTTACAACATTGTCGACTTCACGTTAAGAATTAAATGTTAACTCAGCTAGTTCAAATATATTACAAGGCTCTTCAACATCGCAACGTATTAATATTTGCAGTTGTTTTAATTATACTTTTCATATTAATGTTCATAAATAATAATAATGTATCCTCTTCTCTGCATGGTCCGTGACCATGAGAAAGGAGAAATTGGAGCATTTCTCTTTAGGGCAGCTGCCCGAGCAGCTTATCAAAGTGCCTGACGTTCGCTTTTCTCAGGTCGAGTAGGTTGAAGTCGGAAACTGAGGGGTTCATCATGGCTTGCCAGGATGGTGTCTTCAACACCTTAGTCTACCGCAGTCGCGTGATGGGTATAGAGGTTCCTGACACAAGGTGCAGGGCCTGCCACGAGGCGCCTGCACTTGCAGGCAACCATCTTGACAGATCACTCTGTCAAGATGGTTGTTCTGATTATTGGAGTCCTTGGTGGAATGGTGCCTTCTCTATTCTTGAATCTCAAAATCATACCGGCTTGCCGCACTAAGGCAGAAATCTTAGCCGCACAGATGCAGAAGGCTGTCATTCTTGGCTCACTGCGCTTGCTCAGGGCACATAGTTCTTGGACCCAATGATCACTTACCCCACGGTGTGGGAAGTGGTCATTGGTAGATAATGCTGGCGCGCCCTCCCGATTGTATCGGGGCTTCGGGGGATAGGGCCTGACCAGCGCACACTTCGGTGAAAAAAAAGGTAATTAATGTATAAAATACATTTGTAACTGAATTTAATTGTATCTATATCTATTGTTCATAATAAAACTTCCTTGAAAATTGAATAATTATGTATTGTTTATTGCTATTTGGTCGAAAAAAATCGTGTTAAAAAGACCTTCAACAGTAGGGTTAAAAATATTTTCAACACACTACTTTGTAAACATCATCTTTTAATACTCTTGACAACCATTGAAAATATCACTTTTAATGACAGTTGTACAAAAAATATATTTTCTCATATAACCATAACTACGTAGTATGGTTCATTGATGCAAAAAATGCAAATTGAGAAGAGACGAGATTAAAAAATTTCTCAGGAGACTAAAGAGCTTCCTAATCAGAGAATTAAGGGTGAACAGATTACAAGATTGAAATTTTTGTATTTTTCTGGTTACCTCCTAATGGCATTTGCTCTACAAAAACCAGATTATTGGAAACTTGGAACACTATTTTGAGTGAGAAAGCAGTACCTAAACATTTAAGCACATTTTGGTGGTTTATGTTTATATCCAAAACATGTCAACATTGTTTGTTGAAAGGCATCGAAAATAGTGTTGCAGCTCTGGTATTTGGGAGCAGTGCTTGTTTTGGATTTATTATACATCAGAAGTTTCTACCCTTCATGAACTAGACCTTGAAATGTTGCTCACATTTTTCCAAAAAAAGAGACCTTCATATGATATAACTTCATGGAATTATGAAACAATAAAAATCAATTGGCGCTCCGGGGCGACTTCATTGATTCCAGTGGCGCATTTGCTTTTTCAGCTGCAGGAAAACCCGAAAAAATCTGCAGCACCACATCATATGAAGATCTTGATTTGCTACTGTCCTCTCTTTCGTAAAACAAAATGTAGAGTGTCCCCAGAGGCTCCAATAAATTCAAGACATCGTCAAAACACTTAGTGACACAACTACCATCAAACTTAAACCAGTCCGTTTCGCCTTTGACCAAAGCGCAATAATGACCAGATTCAATGCCAGAACCACATTGAACAATGACTGCATGAAGATTATAATAGTGGTGTGCTAGATTGAACTGTTCATCTATTTCAAAGAATACTTTTAAGAATACCTTTATTTGGAGTGTGACATCATGGCGAACTAAACAAATATACTCTACACTGATTCGAATACAAATTTGAATATGAACCTTTTTTAGAGTGGCTTCCAGTAATTGTGCATCTCCGTTAAACAAGTTTTTCAAAATCATAGGACAAAGAATTGTGATGAAATATATTCCAGTGTTCACTAATTTATATTTACCTTATGGTATCGACCATCAGGAGTACATTCAGGAACATATGGTTGACCACCTTCAGACATAGCTGTTGTTCTGTCAGAGAAGCAATCAGTCGGATCGTCCGCCACGTCAGCTGATTCGTCTTCATAACTGCCCATTGGTCCCACTACCGTCGAACTAAGGACTAAATCACATACAATGAGATACTGAAATGTTCAATGACAAATCTGAAAAATCGACTTGCTCCCGAAAGGTTAGTGCGGAAATCGCTTGTAATTAATTATATAGGTCTCACCTCCATGCGGCGGCGACTTCTGCGGGCTGAAAGAATCTCCGTAATCTTCATTGTAGTCTCCATTATCATTGTATGTGTTCTGGCCATGCCCGTCTGCATTCAGCGACAAGAACACACGCAAAGAAACTATTTAAGTTCAAAACAAAGTATGGAATGCTTAACCTAACTGGGTTAGTTCCGATATAAAGCTGCAGTTGTTAGGAGCATTGGCATAAATAACAATATCAAACAACACACAATATTTTATTAAATGAAAAAGTTGAAATAGTTTCGAAAATTTTGTTTTTTCTACAAGTAACTATTGGTTATATTCATGTGTAAAAATAATATTTGCCAACATGATAATATTTCGAATTTATCAAAACCAAAATTGATCAAAGAAAAATATTGAAAACTGGTCGAAGTAAGAATTTATCAATAATTTTATTATTTTAACAACAAAATTTTTAAGGTTATAGAATCTGAGCTGACTTAGAAATTCAATGTAGATTTTGTAAATGTACCTACTTACGCTATTAAATCCTAAAGACTCATAGTATATTTTATAAAATGGAAATAATATAGACGAGTATTATCATTATTATTATATTAAGTCAATCACTTTATATCAAAAATACATTATTTTCGAAACAGAAATCTCTTTTCATTCAAATATTCTCGAAAATGAAAAATGTAAAGGGTGATTTGCAAAAGTTTGAGAACACAAAAAAATATTTATAGAAATTGTTTCTATATTTGCGTGGACATGCAAATAAAAACATTGATTCAAAGTGAATTCATTTTTCCTGTACTGGGTGAAAAAAGAGATAGACTCCGAAAGTAAAATAAAGACAAATTGGTATTATATTTCCTCTTGAATTAAAAAAAAACAACGACACGCGGTGTTCCCAAGCGGTCACCCATCCAAGTACTAACCGCGCCCGACGTTGCTTGGCTTCAGTGATCGGACGAGAACTGGCATTTTTCAACGTGGTATGGCCGTTGCATGTATGTAGTACGTTTTCCAATGAAGATAAAGGAACGTTACTGAGGAGCTTCTTTAGTTTGAAAGACTTATTAGTACTTCTATTTTCAATGGCATTTACATTTGGCAGTATATTAATATTGACTGAAAAATTGTTTACAGTTTGGTCCATAGAATAAAGATCTGAATAAAATGCGAGTGATAGATTTCAATTCCTGGCCCATTTTTCAACAGTTGTACAAAGTTGGGCCAGTTTCATTTCTCACGTAGAGAGTTTTCGCCAAAACAATGATGAATCTGTTTGAGCACCTGGGCAAAGAATACAAAGTTCATATATGCTCATAAATACGGTATTAGTGAATCTTGAAACTTATAATTGCGTATCAAAATTATCGTTTGTATCATTGTTATTAAGGGTTAAGTTGAAGAATATTTTCTGTCGTGTTCACACTACACTATATTTCGCCTTTTATATTTTCACACTCACGCTATTAATGCCTAAAGACTCATAGTATATTTTATAAAATGGAAATAATATAGACGGGTTCTATCATTATTATTATATTAAGTAAATCACTTTATATCAAAAATACATTATTTTTGAAACAGAAATCTCTTTTCATTCAAATATTCTCGAAAATGAAAAATATAAAGGGTATTTGCAAGTCTGAGAACACAAGAAAATATTAATAGAAATTGTTTCTATATTTGCGTGGACATTATCATTATTATTATATTAAGTGAATCACTTTATATCAAAAATACATTATTTTTGAAACAGAAATCTCTTTTCATTCAAATATTCTCGAAAATGAAAAATGTAAAGGGTGATTTGCAAGTTTGAGAACACAAAAAACTATTTATAGAAATTGTTTCTATATTTGCGTGGACATGCAAATAAAAACAATGATTCAAAGTGAATTCATTTTTCCTGTACTGGGTGAAAAAAAAAGACTCCGAAAGTAAAATAAAGACAAATTGGTATTATATTTCCTCTTGAATTAAAAAAAAACAACGACACGCGGTGTTCCCAAGCGGTCACCCATCCAAGTACTAACCGCGCCCGACGTTGCTTGGCTTCAGTGATCGAACGAGAACTGGCATTTTTCAACGTGGTATGGCCGTTGCATGTATGTAGTACGTTTTCCAATGAAGATAAAGGAACGTTACTGAGGAGCTTCTTTAGTTTGAAAGACTTATTAGTACTTCTATTTTCAATGGCATTTACATTTGGCAGTATATTAATATTGACTGAAAAATTGTTTACAGTTTGGTCCATAGAATAAAGATCGGTCCATAGAATAAAGATCTGAATGAAATGCGAGTGATAGATTTCAATTCCTGGCCCATTTTTCAACAGTTGTACAAAGTTGGGCCAGTTTCATTTCTCATGTAGAGAGTTTTCGCCAAAACAATGATGAATCTGTTTGAGCACCTGGGCAAAGAATACAAAGTTCATATAGGCTCATAAATACGATTTTAGTGAATCTTGAAACTTATAATTGCGTATCAAAATTATCGTTTATATCATTGTTACTAAGGGTTAAGTTGAAGAATATTTTCTGTCGTGTTCACACTACACTATATTTCGCATTTTATATTTTCATAGGTATTACTGCAACTTAAAAAAGTTTTGAAAAAAAATATGTCTATTATCCACTAGTGCATGATGAAAATATCATTCCTTTATGAGAGCAAACTGAATTGTGTATCCAAGACATTTATTTGATATATTAGACTATTCAACAATACCTATGTGACTTCAATTTTCGTTAGAAAGAACATCAATCTGTATAGATTTACTAATACTTTGTATGTTTTTCAACAAGTTGTCAAGTCATTACATGGTATCTGAAAAATTACTTCAACCAGTAGATATAATTATAGTCTATTGTCAATGGAAAAGCTCCGATTTCGTGTAAACTACAATACCTATTCAGATATATTCAGAACATGAAGACCTTTAAAATTGTGTAATGGCTTTCGATAAAGATGAGAAAAAATCACAAAAGCCAACCTCAAGATCATCTTGCTCATCCATCCTCTCAATTACATGCGCTAAGACAGCTAAAGTGGTATGGGACAAGTTGAACCAAACTTTTGAGGACTCAGGAGGAAGAATTTGTTAATGAGAAAAAAATCACAAAAGCCAAGCTCAAGATCATCATACTCATCGATCCTCTCAATTACATGCGCTAAGACAGCTAAAGTGGTATAGGACAGGTTGAAACAAACTTTTGAGGACTCAGGTTAAACCATGAGGGTTGGTCTTTTGAGAACATTGACAGCCAGACGTCTTGGAAACTGTAATTCGGAGGAAGAGTATGTTAATAAGATGATTATCACTGCTCATAAACTATCTGGAGTTGGTTTCGCAGTTTCGCAGTCTCTTGTTAGCAGACTTGTCCGAAGAATATAAACCCACGATAATGGGATTCGAAAGCTCTGGTATTGAAATAGAGGATTCACTGAAAATTAAACTTCTTCAAAAAGTGGAACGACAAAATCATGATTCCTCATTTCATTCTTGGACGACATATTAGAAACTGTTCCAAAAAAGGTTTTTGATGTTTTCAATGCAACCAACACAGTCATAAGGTACAAGAATGTACCAAAGAGTCCAAGCACGTCAGTTAATAGAGGTGCTACTAAGGCCCAATCAGATTTCTGTGCACAGATAAAACGAACTTCTGCGTTCAAATCGCAAATTCACAAAAAAAAATTCTTGTCACACAAGTGTTATAAAGAGAGTCGAGTTCATGAATCGATCGAGGTGGTGTTGAACCTCCAAAGAACCATGATCATATAATGAAATTATATTTAATACTAGAGGGTTTCTTCCAGTAGACAGCTTTGTTAAATAAACGTTGCGACCAAAAAAATCGGAGTGTTATTAAAAACCTGAGTGTTACCAAAAATCTGCAAATAAACTGTCCCATAGAAAAAAGAATTGAAAATTAACATCCACATGTTGGGTTATAATAGAATAATAATCTTAGTCCTTCCTTCTTAATAAAAATATGTTTCCAGGTATAGATCATGTCAATACGATACTATTATGTATACATAAAGTTTTTTACAATCACATATATGAAATATAATCCTTTTATTAAATAGTTGCATAAAAAAATTACAGGCAGCTTTATGACACTGTGGTATCAGTTTATTATATGAAGTGTGAAGGAAAGAATGGGGCTAACCGTATTTTCTCCCGTTTCGAGAAAAACGAATTTTAAATTTTAATACCTCACTGAAAAGTATTTATGTATACATCTGCGATACCCGTAAAACTATGGAAAACACTCCAAATGTATTACCAGGGACTGGAGTATTGAAAACAAATCTGAAACTACATTTTTTACTGGTGTTCCCAAGCGGTCACCCATCCAAGTACTAACCGCGCCCGACGTTGCTTGGCTTCAGTGATCGGACGAGAACTGGCATTTTTCAACGTGGTATGGCCGTTGCATGTTTGTTGTAAGGTTTCCAATGAAAATAAAGGAACGTTACTGAGGAGCTTCTTTAGTTTGAAAGACTTATTAGTACTTCTATTTTCAATGGCATTTACATTTGGCAGTATATTAATATTGACTGAAATGCGAGTGATAGATTTCAATTCTTGGCCGATTTTTCAACAGTTGTACAAAGTTGGCCAGTTTCATTTCTCACGTCGAGAGTTTTCGCCAAAACAATGATGAATCTGTTTGAGCACCAAGGCAAAGAATACAAAGTTCATATAGGCTCATAAACACGATTGTAGTGAATCTTGAAACTTATATAATTGCGTATCAAAATTATCGTTTGTATCATTGTTACTAAGGGTTGAGTTGAAGAATATTTTTTGTCGTGTTCACACTACACTATATTTCGCTTTTTATATTTTCATACTTACGCTATTAATGCCTAAAGACTCATAGTATATTTTATAAAATGGAAATAATATAGACGAGTATTATCATTATTATTATATTAAGCATTATGTTTCATGAAATGAAAATAATATACCTAGACAAGTATTATCATTATATTCATACTAAGTACATCACTGCATATCAAAAATTCTTATTTCTGAAACAGAAATCTGTTTTTCGTTCAAAAATTCTTGAAAATGAAAATTGTAACGGGTAATTTGAAAGTTCTAAATCTCAAAAAATATTTAGAAAT